CTTTTTCAAAACTTTGGGGGACATGAGAACTCCAGAACCTCACTACTCAAAAATGTGGTTCACCAAAGAGCAGTACTTACACTGGGAGTTTATAAAACCTCAGAATCTCAGATACACCTTGTAAATCTGTATTGTACACTATGCACACTAAGTTATAAAAGCACTGTTCTAAAATAGTGAACCACACTTTGAGCAAAGGTCTAGAAAATAGCCTTAATGATTCTCATAAGATAAACACTATAGACACCCCTTGGGAATCACTGATGTAGAAATGTTAGGACTTTCAAATCAACACAGTATTTTCTGCTGAATTTGTAATTCTCAAAGTTTTCCAGCTACCAGCAACTCCAATGTTTCATGGCACACTTCCAAAAAAAGGCAACTGCACTTGCTTCCAGGGCCACAATGGTAGATCTCTCAGAGAGGGATTCAAAGCTAATAACTGTCAAAATTAAACTGCAATGCCAATTGCTACTAAATCTCTAAGAGGTCCAATGCGGAAGAATTTGTTTTAAAAATACATAAAAGTAACACAGCTCATAAAAATAAGAAATCACTGCTACAAAAACCTGAGGAAAGAAGAGAAATAGATGGGAATATGCATCATGGTTAAGTGTCAACTTCACTTTAAGATAGTTAAAGATGGTAACAGATCATTAATACCACCTTAAGAAAATAATGTAAAAATGTTAGACAAATTATTAACAAGTTATAAACCTAAATTTTATTCTTTCACAAATCATATAGCAGGAAGGGTAGAATCAAGCAGGTTAATTTGTTTTTGTTTTTTTTTTCTTTTTTTGAAACGGGGTCTCCTATTATGTTGCCCAAGTTGGCCTGGAACTAATAATCCGCCTGTGTCAGTCTTCGAAATATGGCTACTTTTTAAAGCTATAAAAAGCTAAAATAGCCTTGGGGCCGGCAAGTGGTGTGGTGGTTAAGGGCACTGGACTCCCACATGGCTGACCATGGTTTGAGTTCCAGACCTGGCAGTTTGCTTTCTCACTCCCACTCTCCCTCCATCCTTCTCTGGTCAAATTAAAATAAATAGTTAAATAAAATAATTTTTAAAATAATTGGTATTATTATTAAAAAAAAAAAAGCTAAAATAGCCCAACCTGGTGTTTTTGGAGTTATTTCTGAGAACTATATGCTAATTAAACTTATCTATAAAGACTTATAACAATGTATAGTGGGCAAATAAATTAAGATTCCTTCATAATCTCAAGGCTTGCAGAAACTTGACGATATTTACTACAGGTAATGACTTTAGATTTCTTAAATAATCATCTTAATTAGGAACAAATTGTTCAATTTGTGAACATTACATACTTAACTGCATCAAATCACTGGTATTATAATACCACCAAAAGTTTTAGTGGTTCTTAGTAGAAACCAGATATCAAAGTAGAAAATTATTTTAGGTTCTATTTGTCATATAATCTTAAAATACTTCAAACAATTTATGTAAGTCAGTAATATCTATCTCATTATATAATTATTCTGTATTATAAAAATTCTAACTTTATTCTGAAAGAAAATATCCTCATGAATATTATTATTTATAAAAATGTATAAAACCTTTTAGGATATTTAACATCTTCATACAACAAAGAATAGACTGCATCATCTGGACTGCCCCAAATAATTTTTTAGAAAATGTGACTTAAAAGTAGAATGCAATATCAATCTGAAGGAAGATAAAGGTTTAAAGTGGATACAGGGATTACTTTAAAGTATTAAAACCTATTCTAGGATTCCCCTATTTTCTTTGCAACTTGGAGGTAATTACCTCTGTAAACTCTGTTGAAATTCCATCCATCTCCTCAATCCAAGCAATTTAATATGATTGGATAAAACCTTTAAATAACTTTAGAGTGTCTTTGACCTTATATAAATAGGGGTTTTGAAGTGATTGAGACCAAGTTTGAATCCACATACTAGCTTGAATCCACATACCAACTGAGTGACCTTTGCCAAACTACTTTACACCTCTGTTCCTTTTGTTGCTGTTTTTAAATGACAGTCGTCTTATCTACATGGGGGGGGGTGTATAAAGATTATATAAGAACTACTTAAAGTATCCAGAATGGTCTTAATAAGGTTAACTAACTTTCATGAATAAATTTGGGGAAAAAAATCTTTATGAATCTACAATAGACTAGATCTGTGAATAATGCACAAATTATTTTCATCTTTTCTAACAGATAAATTAGTGATGTGAAAGAAATACGTAGGAGTTTTACTTAAATCAGAGTGTAGTAGCTTTAGCTTAGATTTCTTATAAAATATCTAACATGCTACCACACAGTAATTCTAATGTTTTGTTTAAATTTGTTTAAAGCTAGCAATTTCATTTAACTATTTTTTTTTTTTGAGAGGTTTTCGCTATAGGGCGTGTGCGCTCACCAGACAGACAGAGAGACATAGAGACAGAAAGTGAGAAATCACCCCCCATGGGGGATGGTCACACTGCAATCCCTTCTCCTCCATTCTCCTCTTGGGATCTTGGGCACGCACGCACACGCGCCGGGCGTGAGTTTTAAGCCACCGGGTCAGGGTTACAAACCACGGCCGAGTACGTGGGAGTCCAGCGACATAGCCATTACGCTAACTGCTGGTTCCCTCATTTAACTATTTTTTTAATTAAAAAAAAAAAAATCAATGAATTAATTCTTAGAACTATGTTTATTATTAGTTTTTAAATCCTTGAATGTTTACACTATTACTGAGGGCATTAAGAACTATCAGATAGTAAATGTTTTACTCCTACAAGAAGGTAAAAAAAATTTGACTAAGGTTTTATAATTTTTTTATGGCTGAGATTCAACTATCATACAGAGTTAACTGAACCAAGATCAGGAGAGGTAAAGATATTGTGCCAGTAAAATATAATAAACGATTACAAATTCTTTACTTCTGGAAATGGGTATGCGTGTTTAAATAATCTTTGCATAAAGTGCATCTCTCTTCAATGAGAATTTACCTTTTATCCTTTTACTCAACAGTAGGGATGAAATTTGACAGCCAAGAATACTTTTCAACTTTGCATACACTAGAAATGCATCATTTGTCTTCATTGTTTGAAGTTTCGTGAACTTTATTTCTCTACTCTTGTCTATGTGTTATTGGTTAAATAAAGTTAATATGTACAAACCCAGTCCTGAAAGGTTTGTAATTTTTATCAGAGAAGTACACTGAATACATTTTACATTTCAATATTTACTATTTTAAGAACTGTTACTGACATGTAAGTCTTTATGCTCACTAAAAGTCCTTTATATTTATTTTTTTAAAGAATTATTTTATTTTTATTTAACTTTATTTATTATTATTATTATTGTTTTCCAGTTTGATCAGACAGAGACAGAGAGAGAGAGAGGAAGTGAGAAAGCAAGCCACCAGGTCCGAGACTTGAACCATGGTTGGCCATGTGGGAGTCCAGCACCTTTAGCCACCATGCCACTTGCCGGCCCCAGTCCTTTATATTTAAAAGCATAGTTCAAAAGGCCGTCCTTGGGTTCAGTTTGAAGGTATTTATATTTCTTTCAGAAAAGAACTTTTGATACTTACAACCTTAGAGATTTTTCAGCCTTCAGTGATAACTAGAAATAATGTACACACAAAATAGGGAGAAAAATCTTATTATGGATAAGGATCAATACACTTTTTTTTTTTTTTTTTGGGGTGTTTTTTTTTTTAGGGGGCATTATAGGGCGTGTTTGCTCGCCAGACAGACAGAGACAGAGAGACAGAAAGTGAGAAATCTCCCCACAGAGGGGATGGTCACGCTGCAATCCCTTCTCCTCCATTCTCCTCTCGGGATCTTGGGCATGCACAAACACACGCCCAGCAT